GTGTATAAACAAAACGGAAGGATTGGCGGGGTCGGCAATATCAACCACGTGCATAAAGTGACTCTTTTCTCCTATAAGAATAATCATTTGATCAATATCATTTCACAGTTTGATATCATTTTAATTATAATATACAAGACAATTGATATAAATCACAGTAGAAATATACCATGAATTCCATAAATCAGTTGTGTAATTTATATTACCATCACGGCGTACAATAGTGTACAAAATTAAGCAACGGACTTGAACGGAGTATGGTAAACGTTTGATAAAATAAAGCATATTCACATGTCGTGATACCATAATAAGGTTTCAAATGATTAAACCTCTTTGCCCTTATCTAATCGTTCAGTAGGAAACGTAATACAATAAAACCAAAAAGAGAGATGTTGAGTTTTTGTGACTGCATTTCAACATAGACCATTGTTTGATATACTTACTCAATTTAACTTTGCCGAACGAAGCAATTAACTTTGGGAAATGAATGGTGTTTAGTGCACGAATGATTACGAAATTATTGATGGATTTATAAAGAGACAATACCGTATTATACGTGTTTGAAGATAACAAAATTTACATGACATTGGGTTTATCACGTTTTCTTCTTTATATAAGGTGTAATCTATATAGATAAAACAATGTTGAATGATAAATGAATGATAACTTTCTAAAAGAAATAATGAACTTTCAAAAACATCATTGTTTAAATTTTGTGATCTTAAGCATGTAGCTGGATTAAAATTTACAAGTATTCTCCAATTGGCAATGCTAGCCACATTATATATAGTTTTTTTCTCCGACTTTTAAAGTGACATTATGCTTATTTGCGTTGTAAAGTTAAGTTGAATGAGATAATTTTACATAACGGTGTTTAACTAGTAAATGAAATGAATTAGAAATGTTTCGAATAAAATATAAAGACTGTCTTTTTTTATTTTTTATTTATTTATTTATTTATTTATTTATTTATTTATTTATTTATTTAAAAAAAACTATTCCACTCTTTCTACCAACTTTCTATCTTCTGAATGATATTTATAGAAATTTCTGTATGCAACGTGGATAATTGCATATTCATAAGTAACAGAATATGAAAAATGGAAATAAATATGGCAAGATGTAAATTAATTTTGATTTATTATCTGTACTCTATACCATTTAGTCTTGGATGGACATAATATTACTTTAACTTCCGCTAAAATCTAGATGTCGTAGTCAATAATGTTTTGCAATTCTTTTCAACAGATTGAAACACTAATTAAATGTTAAAAGGTAAAATAACATGTCATTTAACTTGCCTGAAAACAATTAAAATGAATCGTATTACCTATGATATATACAACACTGTTAACCGGATCATAAGCGGCGTCTGTTGCTGTACCGAGATTCAAACCACCGTAAACATAGGTCCCTCTGTTGTTGCTCGTCGCGAGTTGGGTATAAGACAGATGTTTGAGTGTGTAGAACCCAAGCACTGTTTGAAGGAGGCATGTGGCTACAAATAACTTGATCAATCCCATTGTCTCAACTACAGGTATATGAAATAAAAATACGTAAATATTTCTCTAAGCGTTATTAACCGTCAGTATAGCGAATTAAAACAATCAGATAAAAACAAATTATGAAAAACTCAAAAGGCAAATATAACCGGTTTGAGTTAAAAACTAATTATTATTTATACTGGTGTATTAGTTTTTCAGTTAAGTAATATTAAAGAGTAGATTTAACTAACAAATAATACTAATAGATCCGCAAAATTGAACATTAATGTAACTTTATTAAAAGACCACCTTATATCTCTTAAAGCTAACACCAAAAGGAGATAAAGTTCAGTTTAGAGCAATAATCTAACGTTAGAAAGATCATGCGATAGTACATTGCTTATAAAGGTCCTGACCTAATTCGATAAAAGAAACATTGATATACTACTATTTGCCAAAATGGAACATTGGAACTAAAGTGAATCGGTCAATATCGCAAAATTAAAAATAATCCTGGTTCTATTTAATTGAGCTTTACAAAGAGCTTACATCTTCTGTTAACATATTGCAAAATTGATACTATATAAACAAGAAAATAATTGTTATATGAGAAGATATTATATTCTAATTATTTGAAAATAGCTTTTTTATTGCAAGCCAATTATGCTTTACGACATTTTAACAATACTGTGTGTGTTCGTGCGTGCGTGCGTATGTGCATGTATTTGTGTTGGGTTTTACGTCGCACCAACACTGTTAAGATTCCAGCACTTTTAAGTGTTGAAAATTGAGAAACGCTCAAGCTGGAGCTATGGGGCGTAAGGAATGTTGCATATTTTCATTATCCCTCAATCAAACCAAGTCTGCAATTTTCATGTAAATTGTTGTCATTAATGCTTCCGAGGGATCATCTTTTTCCATATTTCAAATTTGACTTCCCAGCTTTACTGGTGGAGTAAGACCTCATGTACCTATACATGAACTATTTCAGGCACAAACGGGCATTTGAGTACAGCCACCGACATTCAGTAACCTTACTAGATAACTTCCTCACATGAAAGAATCCAATGTCCCTAGCGGGCTTCGAACACACCGCGGTGAGGAGCAACCGGTTTGAAGCCAACGACATTAAACGCTCGGTCATGGAAGCCACGATCTCAAGTAACATCGCAATGAAATGATTACAAAGTTCACCTGACATTAAGTCTTATCTTATCAGACGAAATACCTTCCTTTACTGTTGTCAACACATACGAGGTAATATTATACAATAATGTAAGTTTTGACATAATTATATTTTGATATTCTGCATTTTTAAATACTGCATGTTATGAAATAAAATTAGTTTTGAAATAATTTTGTTTTATACAGTATTTTTATATATTATAAGTTTTGATATTAAGTAAGTTCTGATAGAATTATGTTTTGATGTACTGTATTTTTATTTACTGTATGTTTTGATATAAAAAATTGATATAATTATGTTTTGTTTTGTACAGTTTATTTATACACTGTATGTTTTGATACACAGTAAGTTTGAATATAGTGTATGGACAAAAGCCATCATTACTTGTTTATACAAATGTAACTAAATGATTATGCTATGGTGATACGTTAAAAGCATCTACTCCGTCATCTTGGCATGCATTTTAAAGCTGAATATAATATCTCTAACATAGAAAAAGCAAGCCAATGTTGAAACGTTGGAAACCACTTGGCTTTGTTTGTCTCAAAAAGTTAGGTTAGACTTTTCATACATTTCCTTAAAATTTTGCCATAATATATTATTTAATGGATGTCATTCAAAACTTTAGGGTCTGCAAGGTTAAGATTGGTTGGATCGCCCGAAGCACAGGTTATTTTCAATTCAGATCTGAATGATGTTTTATACGCTTCCTATAAGTTTATTTCTTTAAAAGTATCATATCTTCAACATCATCTATAACTCTCACTTGTCGTTCATTTTATCATGTGAAAAAAAACGTCTTATGTTGAACTACCGTATCTGAACACATCACATTAAGCTTTGTTACTTGTTGTTACTCGTATGATTACATATATTTTTATTTCTACAATTTACTTTCAACAATACAGCAATTCTTATAGATCTACTGGAGCAAATGTAAAATACAAAATATTTACTTTGATATCTTTATTTAAATTTAAACAGTAGAAAAAGAACAAGTTATCATTTCTTTGATCATGATGTATGTTTTACAGTGGAAGCCAGAAATGGGTCTGACAGGAATATTTGTATCAACGTTCCTTTTCCAAGTCGTGTTTGGCTATTACACACTCCAACAGCTGTCATATACACAGCTTGCGACAAGCATTAATAGAGGGGTGTATGTATATGGTGGTGTTAACCTTGGTACGGCGACAGATTCCGCTTACGATGCCGTGAACCACGTTGTCTATATCATAGGTACAATCTTTGAATATAGTTATATTCTCAAACAGCGATCTTATCTTCAGATTACAATGGAATGTTTAATGATAGCACCCTTTGACACTCGGACTATAAGTATGACAGTCAGGAGCTATTTACATTTCAATATTAAGTACATTAGCTTAAGTGCATATGTATTCGTCACGATTTCAAAGTTCATTTAGTCATATTTACATAAACGCATATTGATCTCATGATACGAAAGACTAAAGTGTAAAACCTTTTTTTTAATTTCGAAGTGGTAAAACTACTTGAAACTTTCATGCAACGAATTAGTTTGCAACAATGTGAATAGTTCCGTTTGCTGGTCTTCTCTTAGATATGCAAAAAAGAGTAATGTACTGTCATGATATACATTTTACTGACTGTTATGTAATATTACTTTGTTTTATATTGAATTCCATTCCGTTCAATAAATTTTGACAATTTTATTCAAAAAAAGGATAGCTTATTTTACACCTACATTTGTGTATCTTAATTCTTGCTCAAATATTTTACAAGTACTATCTATTAATATCGCCCGATCATACCTTTCTGCAGAAGACCACAGATTTTAAGTTCGCTACAGTTTAATCTTAGTTTGTTCTTGACATTAAGTATTCCTATAATCGGAATTCATTTCCAAACATTAATGAAGTCTGCAAACTTTGTAAGACAATGTCATTATACGATAAGAAATGTTTATGTTTACTATATATTCTGATATACAATACAATATTTATTTTATTTCTTTATTTAATTCAGTCTAGGTTTAGTTGTCCGATACTTGGCAACAACAATTGACATTATCAAGATAACATGAAAATATAGTCTGTTTTATCATCATCTTTATGGTAGGGCTTGTCTTTCTATGAATATTTTATATAACTGTATCTATATCTATTCTAATAGGAGAGACGAGTCACTTTATGCACGTTGTTGATATTGCTAACCCTTCGAATCCAGTAGTGTTATTTATACACGAGTTCACGAAAGGAGAAGGCGTTCCCAGTTCTATTGACATTTGTGGCAACCAGATAGCAGTGGCCCTAGCTGCCCAAACGGACGTTAATGAAGGCCATGTCCGTTATTACGAAACACACACGAGAGGTTCAGGGGATACAAATATGATACTCGATGGCTATGTCACAGGTAACGACCATTGTGTGCTCATACACGTGTAAGTTTCATAAATGAGGTCGTTCACGAATTAGGTATTTCTGCAATGGTGTATTGTAAATTGCCCTTAATTTTTCACTGTATAACAAAACAAGGGTGCCATAGTCACAAAATACGCCCGTTTACGAAAACTTTAGATCGAGATGGGGGCATATTATGGATAAGTGTTATCTAGCAAGCAAGTTTTTATCCTTGGCACTGTGTTGTTTAATGAACCTTAAAACAAATCAGTGGGGAAGATATTACAATCCATCAATAAACAAGCCCAATTTAAACATTGCAAGCAATTAATGACATTTTATTGAACAGCAGGTTATAATTCAAGAACAAGTACAATGTATATATATATATATATACTGAAGTAATTATTTCATATACTGTAAATATTTGAAGTGTATGGTCACTTGAATATAATTGTGTACACTAACACTATAGTGAGATTTTAGTACATTTATGTAACCCACAAAATCTCTAGAATTGAAACAATATGATACCTTGGATTGTTATATAGCAATCCAGACAGCTTTGTGGTCAGTAAAGTACATCTCTAGAACACCTGTCTGTACAGGTGTGATGTTACTGAAGATCAAATCTAATGTTGACTGGTAGTTAGTTGTTGGATGACTGATATGTTGATAATAACCATGCTCTGAAGCGAATTTTTGAAGAGCAGTCTTTTGCATCGACTCTGTTTTGAAATTCACATTAAAGTCCCCAATGAGTATTGTATTGCAACATTGAAGATGACGGTTATAGACATTTGTTAAGACATCCAGTAGCACT